CCTGACCCGCGTCCCCGCCACCTCATCAGCTCAACCAGTTCTCTCTTTACAGGCAGGGACGACACGATCGTGCTCGGGCTGGCGAGGGGAGGCGTGGTGACGGCGTTCTATGTCGCGACCGAGCTGGGACTCCCGTTGGACGTAATGGTGGCCCGCAAGGTCGGGTGTCCCTTCCACGAGGAGCTCACCATTGGTAGGTTTCACTGCGACATGTCACAGTGGCCTGGATGGAGAGACGGACTAAAAAATGTGAGTGGTTGCGTGTCGTGGTCAGGCGCGCTGACTCCCGACGGTACCACCGAGCTGAACGAGCACCTGATGAAGCGGTTCTCCCTGAAGAAGAGTGACTTGGATAACACCATCGAGCGAGAGCGTCGAGAAGCGGAGAAGAAGTACGGATGACCACACGCTTGAGACGTTGCTTGCATGTTAACCCTTGCGTAGGATCAAGCTCTACAGGGGCGACAAGCCGCCGCTCGATCTCCAGGGCAAGGTGGTGATCTTCGTCGACGACGGCATCGACACCGGCGCCTCCGCCAAAGCCGCCCTCCTGTCCATCCGCAAGAGGTTTGTGCCTCACCCCCGCCTCCAAGTAAGGCCAAGTGCGTCTTCTCACAGACAAGTACTCTCGTGGCTGGGCCACAGGCACCCGAGCAAGCTAGTCTTGGCCGTGCCAGTGATGCCCTTCGACCGCATCGGTCAGTTTCACGGTCTCGTAGACGACATTGTGCCCTTGGCTGCACCAAGGAGGTTCTTCGCGATCGGCCAGTTCTATCGCAGCGTACGTCAGAGCACATGTACTATCGCGCGAGTCCTTAGTCGTCTCGGTTCTGACGGGGAGCTCGTCTCTGCAGTATGAGCAGACGGAGGATGACGAGGTCATCGCCAAGCTGCGCGACGCAGAGGAGCGCCTGCGCCCACCATCAACGAGAAGAAGGGCAAAAAGATAGACGAGGCCAAGACGGAGCGGCAGGCCACGGGTATACTTCAGGAGGAGCGGGCCGCAGCTGCCCCCCAGGAAGTCACAAGCAAGTAGTGACTCCTTCTTCACCGAGTGCTGATGGTGGTGTAAAGCTACATCATCCCTTATTTGATAGGCAGACCTTTTATGAAGCGAAAGAAGGATGTAGAAGTTCAAAGAAGCTGCGTACGAGAGAAGAAGTCATCGTGTCCTGTTTCTGCGCTGCGTCGGTGGAGGAGAAGGTTGTGAGCTGACCCAAAGGAGAGGAGATGAGGAGCGATGACGGCAGCGGCAGGTCCTTGCGTTCCCCTTCGGTGGGGTCGATGGGCCACTCGAGGGAGCACTACTGGCACGAGGAGTCGATGATGGAGGGTGGCCCGAGCGGGGACGGGGGTTATCGGGAGCTGCAGCCGGAGAAGCCCAAGGAGCTGGGCGAGGTCGACTCCCTCAACCCCTACGTCGAGCAGCAGGCCGCACCCAGCCTCAAGCAGAAATCGTGTGCGGGCTACTTCCCGATCCTTGGCTGGCTGCCCTTCTACTCGGTAGGCAAGCTGCAGGGCGACCTCATCTCAGGGCTCTCCACCGGTGCCATGATTATCCCTCAGGCCCTTGCCTACAGGTACGACACCATCATCAACCACACT